TGAACCAAAATCTTTCCGTCTACTCAAGTTTAACTGTGAGCCCTTCCTTCTGCCTGGTTCAGAAAGGCAAAATGCAGTCAGAAGGACCAGGGAAAAGAAAAAGACTAGTAGAAGAAGGCATGATACTTTATTCATTGATTCGTATCTAGCCATCTAAATATTTATCTGACTGGGAAGGCTTGTATTTGATAATAGTTGGCTATTTCATCAACAGTCAAATTACAGCCTGAGTCTAGAGTCTCAGCTTTAGTAAAAATAATCCCCTCTCTAATTTTAAACCAAAAAGCAGAGAGAAAAGAGATGCAAAATATAGTGTATTTATCTGAGTTATTAGCTCAGGTGCTCAATGATAATATAGAGGTCAGCACTGTTACCTAACTCCTCACACAAGATCACGTACTTGCAGCTTATTGTGAATAATACCTGCTTTTCTGACATTACTAACCAGTGTTTTGGAGGTATTTTGCTGCAAGTAAGTCGAGGAGGCCCAGGCAGAGTTCCTGGGTGCATCCTGACCTTACACGTTGCTCCAAACAGAAGGCCCAGACAAATGTTACAATTTCAGCACTTGCACAATCTATTGCGATTGGCATTTCATTTAAGCAGTTTCATACAGGTAGGCACAAGTCACCACATTTCTCTCGTTCCACCATCCTCTTTAAAACCATTTTTGATCAATGATCTGTAAGAGCTCTAAGTTCCAAGGGTCAAAAATCATGGAGGATTAGACTTTCAGGAAAACCATACCCGTATTTCCTAAGTTAGTCTATGCAGGGAGAACTCAGCATCTATATTAGAAGTCAGAAATATAATTTTGGGTAACGCAGGGAAAACAAGATGCATCTAAATGCCAAATAAGTGAAAAATCAATTAAAAATAATTAATTTCTAATATCATGATCTCTTCTGTTTATCTCTTACTTTATTCCTCCCTTTCTGTACTGCAGTACTTTCATATCTTGCAATACAGGAAATAACACTTGATGATTTAAGAGTATTTTAAGAATCTAATTTCTCTGTAATTTAGTTTTTAACATTTTACTACTAGTACCTCATTAACAGCACTTTGATTTTCAGACAGGGAATACAGATTAATTTAAACAAGAGTAGTTAATCTTTGAATAAACATTTGTTTGTGGAAGATGAAGTGTTAGCAATAGCCTACATTATGGAAAATTATTTTTAAAATGTTTTTATAATTACAACTATCATAGGAAAGATAAGATTTGACATAGAACAGGGAAAGCCTCTGGTATTTAAGGCAGCAGCCAAAAAAAAAAGGGAAAAAAAATTAACTTCCAATATGCTGGAAGCAGTCTTTGCCTTCAAGTGAGCAGACAAGTTCTCTGGCTTTGGAAATGAAGCCTCTGAATTGAAATCTTAACAGATTTAAATACTTTGAGAAAGCTTTCTAGAATTTAAAGGAAAAAAAGATCACGACATACTACTACTCCTATTTCACCTTTCCACTAAAGAGCCAGTAATTTCTTGTGCTATTGGTACCTAAGCAAACTTTAATCTATTCAGCTCAAGACTGTCTATACATTTTAATACACTACTGACTGCAGCACTGACCCACCCTCTAGTAATTAGCATAGATGCAAAATACTGCTAATACATATTCAATACTGTGAAGACAGGAAAAAAACCCAATCTTCCATCTGAATGAATCTCACTGTCAAGGTCTCTTTCTCATACTTCCTGGTGAAAAGTGATAAAAAAGGAGTAACATCATTATTTCGTTCCTAGACCTATTCATTGCATCAGAATGCTGGACATCAGGATGTGAACCTTGGAAGATACTTTGGTGTAACAGAAGCTGCTAAGGAATAAATACATGACTAAGAACAGCCTGCTAAAATCCAGTTAATGACTGCCCTTATTTTTCACGTTGCTGGGATAATACTATCATATGGCAAAACACAATAGAAGATTTGTTACTTTAAAAAAAAGTGAAAAAATACAATTGCAGCTTTTTTGTACACCACAGAGGTCTGGCTCATTTGCTTTTAAGAAACAGTTTTTACTTGTTTATAAGCTCAGAAACAGTTAAGTGACCCTTACTTGAGGCTCTCCTGGGAGCTGGAGGATGACCTGTCTGACTGAGGGAGAGATGCTACACTGCCAGAATTCTTCAAGTATGTCTGGAGGCTTCTCTGATAGGGTGGCTCAAGAGAATTGTACAGAGTCTCGGCTTCACTAGGAAAGTGATTTCTAAGACCCAGATAAGCCCTGCAAAATAAGAGAACAACCACATGTAATTGCTCTATATTTTCTTCAAAGTGTGGAGTCGGGAAGTGAGGATTACACAATGAACCAGGGATAGGAGGGAAAGGAACTCAGACTGAAAATATGTAATGCATACAATACTGCTCATCAAATCATGAAAGAAACCAGCAACACTGACTGAATTAATCTTTTTAAAATAACTTAAGTCTATCCCCTGAAATTCTCACATTCACTTACCGATTCTGCAGGGAAGAAAGAGAAATTATTTTCTGGCCTACTCACTAGTCGAAGTGTTGCAGTCGTTTAATAACTTAATGGGGGGAAAAAAAGAATGATTGTGCTGCAATATCAACCTTTATGACTCCTGTTTCGGTAGAATCCTCAAATGTTGCATGGCAGTATTAGTTGCCTGAACATTCAGAACGTCTTTTGGAAAAGAAACTAGATGTTAATTCAGGACTCTGAGAATAGAAACATCAATTTTCAACCTAATTTGTGTCCTCCTCTTCAGCCATAGTTAGCCGCTCACCTCCAATTAGAGCTCATGTAAAACGTACAATTTTTCAGAGCAAAATGTAGTTGAAACTCACTTTCTTGCCTCCACTCTTGCTTCTGCATCAGCATCATGAATGCCTTTCTTGATTGTTTCAACCAAGACAGCTGCATGCCTAGAAGAAAGACATTCTTCATGCTATTTTGCTACTCCCAAGTTCTATTTTAAGTAGTGAAGTTTTACACTTAATAATTAACATTTCTGGAAGTAAAAAACCCAGCTGAGATAGTAGTTCTAAGACATGAAGTAAACAAATGCTTAAGCACACTAATGACATAATTGCACCTTCCGTAAAGGTTTAGGTAAGCTTCCTCCTTCAATCTAAAAGAATTATAATCTACTTTTCAGACATAAATCCACCTATCATACTTAAAAAGTTATTTAAAAATACCATTTTAAAAGACACCTACTTTCCTGAAACGGAAAAAACTATTTCCCCTACTATATTAATAGTAAGAAAGAAGAAAAAGGTAAGATTAGTAAGTTTGCGTTCCTGGAAATTCACCTCTGAAAGCTTTTGGCATATGATTTCTAAACCTCAACACATGCTCAAAGAACAGCAAAGCGCCCATCAGAACAACTAAAAATTGTGATGATATACAGATTTTAATTCAAGACATGTTTGGTGTTTTGGGGTTTTTTTGGGGGGTATTGTTTTCTGTGTTTTGTTTTGTTTTTAAAACACACACATACACACTCTGACATAAATTAAGTAATATCCCCATTGCTGCCTTTCTCAGGACCACCTTGAGGGGTTGAAAGGCGACTATGGAGCTGGATGAGCTCTTCAGAGCCTTCTCTGGAGACCCTGCAAACCCTTTGCTCTTACTCTGTGCTTACAGTATACATTCTGCAGAGCTGATGCATGTACTATTTTCCTATCTACCCAAGAGAAGCTATGGTGGCTTTTAATCATTACCAGAAAAAGTCCTCCAGCCTAACGCCACCTGCCCTCTTTTATGGCAAACACACCAATTTCCTCCTCAGAGGAGACAAGACAGATGCTTACCTGTGCATCTTTGCTGCACAGGATACATGATGTAAGTGAAACTCCAAGAAAGCACGGTACACATTGCTCACATACAGTACAGGAGAAGAGGCAGAGGGTAAGGAGAGAAGGCAACACAAAGTCAAGGCTGGAGCATACCTCTCTCCTTTTCCCTGGCACTTGAATGAGCCACATAACCTGCTGTGCTAGAAAGGTTGTCTATGCTAGAAAGGTTGGACAACACTGAACAACATAATCCAGTTAAAGGATTCAAAGAAAAGATTTCTGCTTAAAATGCATTAGCAGTTTATTCTTGGGCAAAAAGTATATATACCTTTCCAACGAATGCGTTTGCCACTCTTGTAACAACAGGTCTAAAAATTCAAAGGAGCGCCTAAAAAGACAGAACAAAAAGTTATAATTAATACTTAATTCTCTAATGTGCTTGCAGAATAAACAGTAACTTTATTCTTTCCCCCCGAGGGAAACAAACACATAAAAGTATGTTTATCTGTCAAATAAGGACACTGGTCGCCTTACTGCAAAGTTAAAATATTCTGTATAGAAAGCAAACATGCAGACTAACTAATCCTAAATTTCAAAAAAAAAAAAAAAAAGGGGTTCAATTAACCATCTGTCATGTTATTACACATGTGCTGTATTAGTTTTATTAGCCCCAAAATAACAGACAAAAACCATTTGTTAAAAAATTGTACAAACTATAAAATTTAAAAAAAAAAAAAAATCAGTACTTTAAAGATTCAGCTATTAAGTCACAACATAATGTTCCTATGCAAGTGTATTTCTGTCCCAAACACTATTCCCATCCTTTCATCTGTCATTACCAAGTAGCATAATGGAAAACATGAGACCTGTACAGGGCCCTGCATCTAGAAAGCACTGTACTGGTTTTGGCTGGGGTAGAGTTAATTTTCTTCATAGCAGCTGGTATGGGGCTATGTTTGGGATTTGTCCTGAAAAGAGTGTTGATAATACAGGGATGTTTTCGTTATTGCTGAGCAGTGCTTACACAGAGCCAAGGCCTTTGCTGCTTCTCACCCCACCCCACCAGCGAGTAGGCTGGGGGTGCACAAAGAGTTGGGAGGGGACACAGCCGGGACAGCTGACCCCAGCTGATCAAAGGGATATCCCACACCATATGGCGTCATGCTCAGATATAAAGCTGGGGGAAGAAGAAGGAAGTGGGGACGTTCGGAGTGATGGCGTTTTGTCTTCCCAGGTAACCGTTACATGTGATGGAGCCCTGCTTTCCTGGGGATGGCTGAACACCTGCCTGCTGACGGCAAGTAGTGAATGAATTCCTTGTTTTGTTTTGCTTCTGTGCATGTCTTTTGCTTTACTTATTAACATGTCTTTATCTCAACCCATGAGTTTTCTCACTTTTACTCTTCCAATTCTCTCCCCTATCCCACCAAGGGGGAGTGAACGAGCTGCTGTGTGGTGCTTAGTTGCTGGCTGGGGTTAAACCATGACACTGCTAAAGATTTGCTGGCACTGTACTAAGTTATGTAACCTTATTCATTATTAATTCACAATTCTTGACAATTTAGCAGCCAGCCACTAGCAGAAGGCATGCTTTAAAATGTCTGAAGCTAGATCCTGGTGAACAAATCAAAATGACACGGACGAGGAAGGTGTAGATAACGAGTCTTCAAAAAGGTAGTGGACTCTACTGTCTGGAGCTAATACTTTTTCTGGTTATGTTGCATCTTTGACCTGTTCCGGAGGGGCACATTTCATTTTTATTCTGGCCAAATCCTTTGGCCACCTACAAGACATGACAAGAAGCCCTGAAGAGCTTTTCAGTTTGATAACCGATCTAGTTTTCCTTTGTCTTTCCAAAGGAATGAAGTCAGTATGAAAACAGTGCAATTTTGGCAACCTTCACTGATGCTCACTGGATTGTGAACTGCAGTACCAAAGCCACCTACAGTCTACCGTTCCTCAGCAAAGCTGTGGTAAGTGGAGGTACTGAAGCCCTGTGAATTGTGTTGCAGTCAAACCAGAAGTTATGACAGGTCAGTATAATCTGGGTTGAAATAATACTTGCTCTGGATGCAAAGAGAGCTTAGATTCAGAGCAAATAGTTTAGATGCTCAAGCTGTTTCTTGCATACACATAGCTCTATTACTTTCAGGGCAAGCGTGGGTCCAGCAACAGCGTTAACTGCTTTTGTGAGATTCTGTGCAGAAAACAACACTCCATCAGAAACTAATTAATTTTGTGAAGAGCCAATCCAAGTGTTCAAGTATCATGTTCTTGGAGAAATCAACATGCTGAAGATGCACCTCGGCTGTTAAACATGACAGCACAACACACTGATCCACCACATCCTATCTAAGGTAGCACCCACTGTCTCAATTCCACAGCCCCTAGCGTGGTAGGTTTATTATTTTGGGCACAGTATCAGGCAGCCTGGCTCCATGCATTCAGACTACATTGCACAAAAGTTACGAAGTCCTCCTGGCATCAAGAGAGCAAGGTGCTAGTGCACACTGCATGCACTACGCTGTAGTGCTTCAACAAGAACTAACTTCACTAGGCCTGTCCTGGCCCTAACAGTACCTAATAGGCTCAGGCTGGTTCTTCGCAAAGACGTGCATATCTGTTTCATGCTCTCCCAATGCCTCTCAATAACTGTGTTGTTCATTCTCATTAGATTGAACAACACAGATTCAACTACAGCTTCCCCCCCACCCCGCCTTCTGGTTTTAAATCAGAAGGTACTTTCTGAACAAGTGTTAGGAACACTTCAAATTAGAATAAATTCTGCAGAAGAATACAGTGTACGTCCCCCAGTATGGCAGAAAGTACTACTCCTCAGCATCATCCAATGTAACTTTGCTGAAATTCATTTTTGTGGTTTACTGGATAACACAGTTTTGTGTATTCAGAGTTAATGGCCATAAATCTTCAAATATGTTTATTTTCAACATATGATCATCATATTGAAAAAAGCAACAGCTTTAATAATTTGCTGTTTACAATGTACTCACCTTCTAACTGCAACTGATTTTGAGGTACAGTTGCTTGTTATTAAAGGTATGAGTCGTGGCACATGGGTATGCTGAAGAAAAAAAAATAAGACAAAACAGTTAATGACAAAAGCATTCCTGAATTTGTACTGTACTTAAGTCAAACAGAATTAGCAACACAATAAAAATTGCAATCATTTAAAATGCTTACTGAAACTAAACGTAGACTACTACTACATAAGAGACTGCTACTACCATGTGAATTGATTAAACCTATTTTTTCCCAAAATGTCAAGCAAAAAGCACTTCCAGTACCATCAACAATCACATCATGATATCCACTATTTAACTGTCAGAAGTCATATCCGAAGGGACCAATGGAAGTGTCTCCTCAAAGGAGTTGTAAGCTGATGTTACTTTAGTTTTGCCACAGAGAAAAAAGCAATAGACATAGCAGCCTTAAAAAAATCAGAATTATGCAGCAAAAAGAAAATCAATCAATCTGAAACTACAGGCATTCCTTCAGGGATCAATCAATATGATCAGTGCTACAAAGACTAAATTCCTTTTAATGCAAAATATGTCAGCAAAATAACAAAAGCATGACATGTAATATAAGCAAACTTATGTATATAATCTATATGGAAACACCTAACATCCTCATGGGAAAATAAAACCCTTGAACCACCATTTAAAGTGGGTAAGATAAACTACATTAAATCCAAATGCAATACTTTAATTCAGAATTTAAGCAGCCTTACTTCAGCTTATCTTAACTAATTGTAGACACAAAGTATTAACATTTTAAATCTGAGTAAGTGTAACATGGTTCAACAAATCCATTTTCAGTTCATTTCTTTATTAGTTTCTTGATTAAACACGTAAATTCTAAAACAGTCCCCAATACAGTGTGAAGCTGTAGCCTATAAAAAAAAATGCTTAAGAAGTACCGTACTGAACAATTCTTAGTATCTCACATACTATACTTTCTCCTTAGGTTATTGTTGCAGGATTATAAATGCTCAAATCACCAAAAAAGCAGAGAGATAATTATCAGCTCTCAGAGTACTGCCAAATTCAGAATTAGGAGGGAATTAATCCAAAAGTCTGGAAGAGCCTTACAGTTGTATTTGTTTTTACTGATATACTTTTAAACAGGGTTTTAGGGGTTTTGTTTGTGTTTTGCATAGTTTTCAAATTTAAAAATGGTACATGACTGCCAGAAAGAGAACAATAAGCAGTATCAGGGGAAGGAATAGAACATTTTTACAGATGGAGAAACCTGTATGTTCCCAGTCTTTGGAGCTACTGACATTGTAATTTCTAGAAAGTGTTTTGCAAAGGAATCAAAGCCTCAGGCTTGCTTTCATTCAACTTTAAGATTGCACATTTCACCCGTTACCTCTTTGAAGCTGTAATGATACAGGCTTCCTCCCAGCCCACCTTGCAGCTCAACTGCCCACCCTGAATCCCACCTACCTCTGGAAAAGATTTTCTGCTATCAGGCCATCTCACCATGACACACCTCTCCCCACTTTTTTTTTTTTTTTTTTAAAAATTGGTTTCCTGATTACTAAGAGTCAAGAAAGAGAAATCAGACTACAGTATAAGAACTATCTGGAAAAGAAAAATGAAATCCAAGAAAGGGCCAAAGATGAGATGGAGCTCTACAAGATCACTGGTCTAATACAGCCTTCCTCTCTTTACGTACGCTCACTCTCACAGCAGTTAGGTACTAAAGCACCAGGAGCTGAACTGGCTGTCAGTGGATTCTGGTAGGATTTTTTTGAGCAAAACGCTGATTCCAAAAGCTGTAATGGCTTGGGCTCTAAATATTCAACACTCCCTGACCAACTCTCATTTAATCCAAAGAACAGAAGTCCAAAGGAGAATGGCACTGCATTTCATTTGACTCTGCTATCCCCCCCCCCCGCCCCGAAAGCTGAATTTTCTGTCAGAACACCTTGCATAAGCCATTTACTGGTTGGGTATTTGAACACTATGGATAGGATTTTCTCACTTCTATGCCTCCAATCTAGTATGTTAAATTACAGCTAAGAATAACAGAAGTTTTAGCAAAATCAGGGCAGCTATAGCCGATGTGTAGGCTTGTCTCCAACTGAACTGAACCAATAAAGCCAATTTAATATAATTGGTGAATTTTTATTTCACACTGCTTTTCTGGTGCTTGACTTGGCTCCTGTAAGCAAGACGACAGGGTTAGTTTCTTACATGCCTGAGCTTGTCTAATACTACTGCAAACAGTATTCTTCTCTTACAACTTTAATCATCCTGTGTACGGTATATTCATTCCTCCACTCTCAACTCTGTGCCACTAGCCATCTGACAGTACGTTGTAAGAGTATGGGGGAAAAATGCCCAAGTGCTGACGCAAAGGTAACGCAGAAGTCTCTGAGCACATTCTCAGAGGCATGGTTAGACAGAGTAAGTACAGACTCCAAAACATACTGAGGATGGCAATAAAATGTGTGAGTCATTTAACCACTTAGCTTTCCAACAACTTACAAAATTAAAACTACAGATGAGATCATAGCAGTAAGTGCCTAGCATAAGAACACCACGGCTTTTAATGTAGAAACTACAGGCAACCTCCCACTTCTATTTCAAACACAAGAATATCAGTACAAGTCCCAAAAATCTAGCTAAACAACTTGCCTCAGATACCAGTTAGTACAGATGCTTAAGGAACAGACAACAAAAAAAAAAAACAGCTAGTATACAGCATTCCCCTCTTCTATATGCTACAGCTTTAAGGACTCAGCTTAGAAAGTTCTTAAACCCAAGGATTAAAATCTCTATTGGGCTTTTCTTCCATGAACTTGTGCTTTCTGAACTGATCCATGTATGTCTGGCCTCTTCAACATTATTTTAGTTCATTTTTTTTTTTAGTATGTGTTCAGTTTGGGTGTTGGTTTTTTGTTTTTGTTTTTGTTTTTTTTTTTGTAAAAAGAAGTAGTTTTGTGGGTTTGGGTTTTTTTTTTGTTTTTTTTAAATCTTACTAGCTTCTTAACTACTAGCTTAACTTTGTCTTCTCCAAAAAGGCAGTTAAACACAGTTAACCTTCGAAATACACTTGCCTTTTTACAATTAACACATTTCAAAAAAATCATGAAAGCACACCTACTTTTCATACCTATTCCTCCATCTTTATGATGGTAATGCTGCTGATTGGTTTCAATGATAAATAATATTTGTCCATCTGTGAGAAAAATTGCTTCTCCATGAAAGAATCATTTATAATCCTATATTTCAGAACTGTTATTATCTCTGCTAAGAGCCACTACCTGAATATTCCTAGCAAGCAAAGTGAGAGCGAGGAACACCTACCCGAATAATGAATCTAATGGCTGCACACCCAGAAGTTGCCATCACTTTGGCGCTGTTGGGAACCAGATTAAAAAGAGTAGGCACAATAGCTTCAGCGCCATGATCAAACTTGTTTCCCAAAACAGTTGAAAGATGGCTATTTAGGAAAAAGAAATAAAACTTGTCAACAAAAAGTAATTTCTCAGTCTTGAAATAACAAAGTTCATTGTACATTTTAAAGACTTATCTTTCCAAACAACAGAATTTCTTAATTTCATGATTTCAAGGTCCTTGCCTCACTAGAAATGCAGGATTTGCACAAAATTTTTGTTACTTAGCAGACACATTAAGAGGTTGAATGCTTATAACTTTATTTTATAATGAAAAACAAATACCACAATTTGAAAGGCTAAAATTCTCATATCCTCATAGAATATCATAGTATTTCTGCTTTTTAACACACTTAGAGAGTATATAATTTCCGTAAGACTTTAGATTTATTGTTCAAGATCTTTTTCCTTTTGAATGCAGGATGAGGACATTTACACAGTACTTTCACGCTACTCCTGACTTCACGTTAGGAAAGGTTAGCGTTATTTTTCTCAAAGCCCGAATTTCCCTAGGGAGGACAGTTGTATGCTCCAACAGGTCCCCATCCTCTCGTCTCACCAGGAGATGAGAACAGCAAAGGTGAACCCTGAGGCGTATCTGTCCCACATGGCCACTGAAAATTACTGGTTACATTAATATACTACGTGTATCACCTAAAAGAACAAATTCCTTTAAATGTTTCTTTTTCTCTACAGCTTCAGATGCAGACTTGACTCTCTATCAGTCACAGTATAGAGCAGTCCAACAAGATAATCTTTCCTGCAACACTGATAAAGCATCTTTAAGTCAAATTCATACTAAAATCTAGCAATGTACACAAATGCACATAAACTATACTTACGCTACAGTAATGCATGCTTCTCTAACCACCTGGGATCTGAGATCCTTGGCTGACAGCTTGAAAGCACCATCCAACAACCGTAAATGCTGGAAAAATCCATCATACTGTGCAGCTCCAGCAACAAGCAATGACCGAACTTTCTTCAGCTAAAAAATTTAAGGCATTTAGTTTAGGACACTACCAATACCCATTTCAAAATTAAAAAAAGTAACAACTTAATTGCAAAAATGTATGCAGGCATGTCTTCAAAGCAAAGCATCATTTTGAAATATATGGCAGTAATTTAAGAAACTGTAAAAAAAAAATCTATTACCTAAATTCTAGAGCTAAAAAGTCTCAGATCCCAGTCTACAAATATACAAACACATAATTCTGTTCACATACCTGTTTCCAAACACTAAGATGCCATAAACCTGATAAAAAAAAATGCTACATACACATACATTTTAATCCTTCAAGTGAAACTTATCATAGCCACTCGTAAGATGTATTAATACTAGCAGCTTACCTGCAGAATATTTAATTTTGCATAAATACCAACTGAAACATACATGACTGCTTTTAGAAAAGCTTCCACTTAAATGTCAGCAAAAACGTATTTCAGCCTTTTTAAAACACTTGCTCAAACTTATTTGGTATATGGAAATTCAATGTTTAAAAATTAAAATGAAAATTTCTTTGATTATCTGGAGCTTAATTACCCCAAGAAAAACATTTTAAAATATCTAGCTGCCTGTGCTTTATGAAATACACCCACCCAAACCTGAAACCAGATAAAAAGTTTACCGCATTAGTTCGTTGATCCCAATCATGTTTGTCATCTGAGAGAATTTCCCTGATTTTATTCAACGTTTCTTCAAGTTCTCGACTAGAATAGATCTGAAGAAATAAAAAACCAGAAAATTTATGTAGTTAATAACCCAGGTAACCTGATGAAGGAAAATAGCTTGAGAAGACTGAAAATACAATTATAATTGTGAAAATCGTGCCCCAAAAGTTCCAGAGAACTGTGTAAGAGGTATAAATGCGTGTTTTAAGGCAAATCTTTGAGCATATCATTGAGTACTGAATATTCATTAAAAGAAAAGCTGAAGAATCAACATTTTCCTCAAGATGTCACCTTCCACCTTTGTGATGATCTAATCATATCTAGAATTCCATTAACTCCATTTAGAAAAAATATAATTCAATACGAGCAGAGGTTTTAGATAATCTGTTGCAATACTATTGCAATTAAATTTCATTTTTATACCCACTATTACAATGATACTTAACCAACAGATTTTAACCCAATGCACCTCTTTGGGGCAGGGACTCTTTCACTTTACAAGAGTGCATGGTTCTATGAGGGCCTAACTGGGTTGCTAGTCAACACTAAAATTAAAAATTTGTCTGAAAAAATAAATTAAAACCTTCAATAGCATCTATATGTATTACTACTCCAAGCCTAGCATTTATTAACTTATGCAGTCAGTAAATAAATGTAAGGAGCAGCCTCCAGTCAGAGTTCTCTATTCTCTACACAGTAACTCCAGCAAAAGTGAAGCCTGACCAGTCTAATCATACCTCAGTCACTATTCGGTAATACATGAATTAATGCATTTATTGATAACCGTATGTGTATGATAGTGGATTTCTAAAGAAGAAAATAAAAAAAGTAGTCATGAAAACACATTATTAACATCAGAAATAAACTGACTTCCCTTCTATTCTCGTAGACATAAGCCACAGGAGGCTCTTTTCTGCTTCCACTGAATATGCAAAATATAAAGGGTCGTCCCCATCCTCCCCCCCCCGATTGAGAACAAGTTGAAGAGAGTATGAAGCAAATTACTAACCAGAAACCTGATGTGGCCAGTTTTTTAAAAAATATTTTCAGCTAAATATTTCCAATTTTTTGGATCAAAAATTTGTTTACATAAACACATTGGGCTAAACTGAGTTGCCCATACACAGGTATCTGGTGCCATCTGAGACACATCAAAGACATCCACATGGGGCTGGCAGATACAATTCAGGACTTCAAGGAAACTCATACCCTTCTAGAGTGAAAGCTGAAGGCCAGCATGATAACTTACATAGCACCTAAATAGTAGTGCCTGATGCTCCCTCATTAGTTAAGCCCAACACATAATTTTTTTATGTGCAAAAGCACAGAGCATGTAGAGGAAACAAGGACCAATAGTTAGTGTATCTTGCTTTGCGTGAATTTCTGAAAAGCTTTGACACTGGTCTCTTGAACACACTGTTCTGCATGTATGCATGCGTCTTTAATTTTATTGTAGAAAGATTTAGGAATGTCCTTCTTCCGTTCTACAGTTAAGCTGAACATGTATTTTCTACAAAATATGTTCCTTTTCCTGGGCAACTAGAAATTACTACAAGAATTATTCCAAATACAGTCTGTTTTTCCAATTTCCTGAGCATATCAAATGAATTTAACTTACAGTAGACATGGGACCTTGACTCTATTGACATCTACTTTTGTTCCAGTGCTTTAACAGAACATGGTTATGGAGGCCTCTATATTTCATGATGGAATATTGAGGAGGTGGAAGACATCCATGCTCTGAAACACCTGCACATCTGGTTTGTAGGATAAACAGGGCAGGAATCACTTCAGAAACAGAAATTAGTACACCCAGGCCAGCTTCACTATCATGCGGAAAACAATTTCTGAATATGCTTTACCAACAAAATTGAAATTTTCATTACCACACAGCTGTGTAAGCTTTTGCAGGATATACTGTGGAAGCAGCTTTGCAGTTCTATACAGGGGACAAGACTGTATCCATAAAAACCAAAAAGCTATTCCTCATGATTACTGTTTTCTTCATTAGAAGTCAATAAACATCTGAAGCATAACTTATTTAAAAAGAGTAAATGATTTAATGAAAACAGTGGGTCCAAGCATAACAGACGTTCTACTCCACTGCCCACAAAATCAAACATGAGTTTTTTACCTCCATTTAATATACTTGTGTATACTGCTAGCATATAATACTTGTTACACAACGTTAATTTACTCTAACACTAACTCTATAGGTACCATACTATTAAGAATATTACATGTGTCTCAGTAAGACGTTTTTATCAAATTATATTTCCATTATCAAAGAAAATTCTTATTTTCCTTTTAGAAGTGGAAGGGAGTAGTCACTGGATAACTGAAGATGCAATTTCACCTTATGGTGACCCTAATGCCATCAGAATTCATGACACAATTCAACCTCCTCAGGTTCCCCCTTTAGCCATCACCCACCTTGCCCTATCTCCTTCCAATTCAGGGCCTTAACATACAAAAAGCTAACCTTACAAGAGGAAAGGCAAAAATTTATCTGTCAACTCAGCAGCCTATGCCAACTTATTACAAAGAAGTGAAGTGCAACAACAAGGGAAGCAGGATCACGCTTTTTGGTTGCAGCTAACTGACATCTGTTGTGAGCACTTGAAACTTCATCTGACGTTCCGGTCAAGGTACAAATACCTGTTGTAAGCTGTCTTGTTGAGTAGATCCTCAAAACCAAGATATTTTTTGTTGTCAGCTATGTGTTATCAGAGACCACGTGCTGTCATTCTTGTCATAAGATTAAAACACGCTAAACAACAGACAAGCATAGAAGCAACATATACAATGGGTTTATGTCCGCCCTACTTGCACGCCTATGCAAAGAATTTAATTTTTTCTTTAGTTACCTGGCACAAACAGAACTGGACCTATGCAATTTCTGCTATTCAAATTGGCATTATAATGAGGAATTTAGTAAATGGCATAATTTTATCTTGTCATGAAATTAAAACTGTAATTCCACTGAAAAATACCAATTGTCAAGGTTGTCCATACCTGTATTAGTTTCAGAAGAATAAAAGGCAGTATTTTAATAATTTCTTTTCTCCCTGCCCTTGATTAATTATTCTTTTAGAAGGCCAAGATTCAATTCTGTGTTCAGCCAATGACATCATACATATTTTTGTTCATAAGTTCCCACATCAGACTTCTACAAAAACAATTACATTTGTTTTGAAACAAATTCTAGCTATTAATGGGAGTTACTCCTAATAACCTGAACACAGAATTTTCTTCAATTTAAGCAAAAGCAAATAAACAGAGTTGTAAAAACATTATGGTTGTAATCTTAAGTATAAAGGCACAATCCTCTCACCACAGTACTTCTCTTTTTGGCACACAGATCCATCAGACTATCTCAAAATCACCCATCTTCTTCATTAACTGCTGTTATCCATTAGAGGGCAACACACACACACATCATTAAAGGTGAGTGCAACATCAAAGACAGAAAAATTAAAAGCTCGAACACAAATAAGAGTAATAACTATACAGATGGAAAGTATTTCCAATATGGGGAGTACAAACTAGATATGAGTAAACAGTATGAAAGTCCTAAAAAAATTCATGATGAGCAGTCATTGGAACAGGTTACTGGTAAGGCAGATCCAACATTGGAGGTTTTTAAGAACAAGTTAAACGTACACACACTGTAAGTAACCTCAATTGATTTGATTAATCCAGATGCACTCAATCTTGATTCAGAATTGGATCCTTTTTTCACATAATATAGGTCCCTTGCTTACTTTCACTAACAAGTTTCCTTTGCTTTTAGAATAACCTGGCAAATTACAGGTCATAAACATTCTTTCTTCACATGGTCTACTACAGAAACTTCTCGCTCCCTTACTAATTAACATGGTCTCAGAATGTGGGAGCTGCCTTTTTTTTTTTTTTTTTCCCCTTTCAAAAAGATCAGGGATTGTCCACAACCAGAAGCATGAAGTTAGACAGCAGGAAGTCATTATTCCTAAGGATTAAAAAAAAAAACCACAACCCTTTTCTTTTTTTTTTGCCTGGTCAGCAGGTCTTTCTTACATTCTCATCCATGAAACAAATAGGTTATTTTGAGGTCAGTTACACATTTCTCCCCTGCACCCTCACCTCAACTCAGGTGAGATTAGTAAAGACAAGTGGGTCGGTCTTCTCCACCTCTCTCGCAGTTTAGGAATGACCTACCTTCTTAGGTCATCCAGCAGTCAGACAGAAAATCACATGTGCTTGTCGACAACATACAGTCACCCCACTTTTGTTCTTGCAATGTTATTAACCAACTTGAGTGATTAGAGAACTCTGCTTGGGACTGCAAATACTAAGGCATCAAACTACAGGCAGCACATTTTCTGTGCTGTGGAATATGGCTCTGTTCAACATAATAGGGATGAATAATATTAAGAGCTCCATGTTTTTGCCCTCTAAAGAATTCTTAACACAGTCTGGAGAGGCAGAGAAACAAAGCTCTTACAGTGTAAGACAAAGATTTCCCCAATGTGACAGGAACCATGGCGATGAAGTGTTCCTTCACAAAAGCAGAGAGTATTTCTGCCTACAGAAGGATATCTAACAAATAACTACACTATCATCTTGGGAAATAAAAATAGAACACAGGTACATATCAAGAAAAGGGAGTCATACAAAATCCTTCTGGTGTTTGGGAACTATGGCTGGCTGAGTTTTTGGTTGCCTTCCACACCTCAGCTGCTCAAGGAAAACTAATTCAAAATAGGTCTAGGAAGATAGAAGCATGTGAAATGACTCAACTGTGTGAAAGTAACAAGTATGTGCGATTCCCACACTTAAAGAATAGAAATTAAAATCTGATCTTTCAGCTAAGAACTCTGAATCCAAAAGGTTCATTAATATTCAAATAAGGCACTAGATTTTTTTTTTTTTGAAGTATTTCTAGAGATGAGGACATGTATGCCAGACACCATCATTACAATTCAGACACATTTGAAAATACAATTCTTGGTTTTTAAAATTATTTGCCTGTATTATTAGTATTTTATTATCCCATGAAATTGCAGTCCTACATTTTCCCAATATTATGGAAATCTTTTTCTTATTAAATTTAAAACATACAGTTAATTTCAGTAGCTCCCTGGAAAAGATTAAGTAAAGCAGTAATTGATTTTAGCTGAAACACCATGTGATAATAATTAGTAGGACAGTGAAGAAAAGGTGGTTTTTTTGGTAACTAACTGGAAAAAATAAAGAGCCTTCCACAGAGACTGTAAATTCAGGAAGAAGGAAAAGTAACACCACTTGCTTAGAAGACAGTAACATTAAAGAAGTTTTAGAAGTAGGCTAACACATAGTATTACAAACAGCGTATTTCTGAAAACAAATATAAGTATACACAACATCTTACCTGTACAGTAGGAACATCTGTAAATGCCTTAATAAAATCATCCTCATCCACAGCTCCAGCTCCTCCTTCTTTAGAGGAACCTATATAAATGTAAAATACTGTTAAACATTATGTAATGTACGTCAAGGTTTTCAAACTGACATAAGCATCTTTCACAATACCTATTTTCAAACGTTTAATATAACTTACAAAAATCCTGAACATTAATCATGTAAAATTGCAAGCCTTGAACTCTGATTTCACCATGAACAACAAAAAAGTTAAACTTCTTTTTTCTTCAAAACCAAACAACTGAGCAGTTTCCAATTTGACAGTCAATAGTTTCATTTTATTATTTTTGTGTTTACTTGGAAACATGTTTAGTACAACAATCCTCTAGTAGCTGTTTTCATAGAATTCCGAGACCTGCATCCTGATAATATAAAGTATACAATTTCAAATTATTTACCAAAGGAAGAGTTATTTTTAACACATGCCACAAGCAATCAGCCCTGGAATGCATCGTAACCCTACACAATTCATTTACCTTGTGCTTTCCAGTATTCTCATGAGGAGCTAAGAAGCATGGGGTGCATTTCTCAGTCTCAAAGCTCCAATAATTTCAACAAAGAAAGCAAGGACACAGTGAAGGCAATGATGTGTTGGAGCAAAATCTGAACTCCACTGATTGGCAGCCGCCTCCTCAGAGTGCTCATCCCCATGGGTATTTCACAGTGGGGCTCCAGGATTGTATCACCTGGAGGAAGCTCCCAGGAACCTTCCAGACACATTAGCAAAAAGCTATCGTACCAAAATTTTTTTCTTTCTAAGAGCTTCCATGCCAGCTATGCAAGTAGCACGGCAGTTACTTCTGTGCAAGGTCAATGATAGAACTATTCTCACAGAACAGGCAAAGATGCCCCAAAACCCAAGGAAAAGGATCAGGGAAGAATACTAACAGGTAACCTGCTGATTTCACACTGGCATATGGTTGCCAAATTTTGTAAAAATCTTGGGTAGAAACTAAGGCAACTCCAAGAAAGAAAATAATTTGAAAATAGTGTCTGGACTTCACTTTCTTGCAAATACTAGGGTTACCAAGAAAGCCCTTTTTTTTAAAGGGACGAACTCAAGTTTGCTATCAACTCAAAGAACAAGGTCATCAGATCCAGGCTGCGCTACAAGCCTAAAACTCCAAGTACAAGGTGAAGCTTGGCAGAATCCTTAAGGATCTTCAATAATCGAATCAGGCGGATAATACGACAAGACAGGTTAACTGCATGGAGATAATCAGTCCAGTAGAACATTTCCTTCCTGAAAGGAAAAAAAAATCTCTTGCAGCAAATGAGCACTCAGGAGCAAGGGTCTTGTCTCAACTCTTTCAGAATGAGGCCAACAGGATAGAGGGCAGAATGTCCTCCCTAACTTGCAGAGCACAGCTGAAATGGAGGCATCAGGCAGAGAAGACATATATTTTACTAACTACAGAACAAATAAAAAACAAAAGGAAAAAGCAGTTAAGGCTGAGTGGTCAACTAAAACAAAAAGCTAGGACTTTTTGACAAATGAAACTCTTGCTAGCTGCACTCTTCTGAAGTCTTTCATAGTTTACAGTCCCCTGTATAAATCTCCTATTTATAGTGCAGGGAATTACATCTGCTGTGCTTGTATACTTGTGCAGTTTGGAAACATGAGGGTCCACTACCACTACAAATTTGACGGCAGACTTCTTAGATCTCAACACCTCCATGCAGAACAAGACCTCTCACGTGCCTTTGTGGCTGCTTAGTGTAAAAACAATGAAGTGATATCTAGCAAAATTTGGAGATGGTGCCTGCATGTTGTGGTTTAACCCTAGCCAGCAACTAGGCACCACACAGCTGCTTGCTGACTCCCCCGCCCCAGTGGGATGGGGGAGAGAACTGGAAGAACAGAAGTGAAAAAACTCATGGGTTGAGATAAGAACAGCTGAATAATTGAAATAAAGTAAAACAGTAGTAGGAATAACAATAATAAATAAAGCAAGTGATGCATGATGCAATTGCTCACCACCTGCCAACCAATGCCCAGCCAGTCCCGGAGCAGCAATTGCTGCCCCCTGGCCAACTCTCCCCAGTTTATATACTGAGCATGATGTCACATGGTACGGGTAGTTTGGGTCAACTATCCTGACTGTGGCCCCTCCCAGCTTCTTGCTGACAGGACATGTGAAGTTGAAAAGTCCTTGACTAGCATAAGCACTACATTAGCAACAATTAAAACATCAGTGTGTTATCAGCATTATTCTCATCCTAAATCCAAAACACAGCGCTACACCAGCTACTAGGAAGAAAATTAACTCTATCCCAGCCGAAACCAGGACAGTGCAGTATGATATAGGAACATCTAAAAAATTTTCACAGCCTCAGTTCAAGGATGTTGTAAAGAGATACACATGCAGAAGTGCATTAGGTATAGTATCTCCAACACCACCTGTCATAATTGCTAATGGCAGCCAGGATGGAAAGAAGAAATTATAACCGCCTACTTCTCCCTCCAGACAGTAGCAGGAACAAATCCTTCCACAAAGAGAATGAGTGAGTACCTGACTGGCTAAGAAAATGAAGAGGGAAAAATCCCATTTATACCCAGAACACATGCTTCTGCCACACAAACTTGTACAGCTCCTAAAAGGGAAGATGCCCTGGTCAGCGCAGAATTTTGCTCAAAGAAACCTTGAAAAGAATTTGGCACAGGGGCACCATGCAAAACTAGGTGGTACAAAGAGGTGCCTGGGTTCTCAATTCATAACCTCATCTGTCCCTCCCAAAATACTCCCAACATTTAAGCTAAGACCCAGAAGAGAAATGCATCTCAAGGAGAGGGAGGCCAATCCACACAAGACACTTATTTACATTATTTGCTAGTTTTCATTCAAAACCTTTACTTATTCTTGTCCTTCAAGCACCCTGGTTAGACTGACTCACAGAGACACGTGCAAGCCTAAGTTATGCTTCAGGAAGCTTGCGAGAATCTACCGAACTTAAACAGGCTTGATATGGAAGTTAATTACAGCAGCTGAAGCACCTCTGAGTTTTATGGTGGGTTTGTGGTGGGTTTTTTTGTTTGGTTGGTTGGTTTTGTTTGTTTGTTGGTTTTTTTAACTTAAGTTCAATGAGTCTGGAGATGTAGGCAAGGGAAGCAAACCCCTTACACTTCCTGCAGACTACTAGAGAGATGACATCTTCATAAGTTAAATTTAAGGATTTCTAACATTTTTGTGAGGCCCTAGGAGTGGGGTTTGGTGGTTTTTTTGTTGGTGGTTTTTTTTGGGGTTTTTTTTTTTTTTTTTTAAGAGAAAGTTTTTTCCAGTCACAAGGCTTTGAGTTCAGCATTGCGGATAGCTCAACACCAGAAAGGGTACTGTAGGCAAGCAAAGAAATTACCCAGCCTTTTGCAGAATCAGTTTTCTCACCCAGGAATTAATTCCTGTGGTTGAGTTCTTCCCCTCTTCCAACTGAAACATTTGAAATCCTTCCATCACATCACAATGACTTTGGACTGCTCACTTGCTCTACCACCTTGATGCTCTCCCCACTAGTATCTACAAAGCCATGCATGATGGGATGACAAAACAATGGGAGAACACTACATGGGAGAAAAAAAGATATCATGACAGTGATACTGGACTGGTATTTTTGGTTTGAAACAAAAAACTATTTAATCAAAGCATGCTTAACTTTAATAAAGCATACAAGCACTGGTCTAAAAATAAAAAATTTCTCAACTTATATTTGGTAGCCACTTTTTACTAATCTGATTCAGCTGCTTCTGCTTCTGTGGGTCTTCTGACTAAAATATCAGAACAAAAATTTCCCTGTGAGAAAACAAAATTTCAAAACCGGTACAGAAACTTAGGAGTAACACAAACTCTAAAACTTTGTTTCACTTCTTGTTCTTAAATGCTTTTCTCAACACACTTCCCTATAAAAAATTCGTAACTATTTTCTAGTACAATGTGCATAACAAATTAAATGTTAGTAAACTTGAAAAGGGTACTGTCATACAAGTGTCTTTTATCCCTCAGAATTCTCTACTTGCACATAGTAACAGTATCTTACTGAGCAACACATCCAGAGTAAGATGATGTGGATTACAATTTTTTTTGAAAGAAACAAAAAACCCCAAACCCTAAAGCTATACCCACATCTCAACTAATTCAAAAGCTTCACTTCTTATCTACCAGACACTGAAGCAGAAGTAAAAGACGCAAATCATTCGAGATTTAAAAGGAGAAAAAAAAGTGTACTGCTACCCTTTTGGTTTTGTAGGATGATAATCAATCAGCTGTAAATTAGGAACTGACAGCAGCTTCAGCTCAGCATGGGGTAAGTGGACAGGATAAGCTCAAGTACTTACTCAGCTTTTGTACAATAGGTTGACTGGCAACTCCTACTTGCTCCTACTGACCTCCCTCATTCCAGCACTAGTACAGCTGAATAGTAAAGCACAACGGGGAGTGGCTAAACTGAAAATAAAAATAAACTGGCCAAGAAGAATGGTTTCAGTGAGGCCAGGTCCCTGCCTGCTTCACTGTGGGGCCATATAAACACGGTGCTAGCACAATCCAATGTATGACTTGGGATACAAATGAGTTAGTGGAGATAGGAAAGGAAATTATTCTGGGCAGCTTAAACAGTACAGCTGCTGAAAGCATAAGTATAGGCTGAAGGGAGCAAAGCGATACTCAAACAAGATGAACTCAAGCAAGGGCAAGTGCAAAGGCAACCTAGTGGAATGGACAGCCTATCTCACTAGACACAAGGCAGTGGGGGGGGAGGTGGAATCTAAAGAAAATGTTGATACAAAACACAAAACAAAAAAAAGGCAAATGCATGCACACAAGCTACAAATATATTAATAGATTACAGCAACCAATTTTTGGAATCCTTATCAAAGACACAAAATCGAATTGTCTGTGAACAGAGCTCTTTAGCACAGTACTTGCAGTGGGCAGAGACAGCGCTCAATAACCAAATTCTGTTCCCAGTCCTAGTGGACAGATGTCATATTTAATTCTTTCTTTGAATATACGTTCTACTGTTTGTTAGTCTCTGAAACT